ATGGGGGGAAAAAATAGTAAAGCTCAAAATAACTTAATGTTAATCTATATACATATGAATCCATGAACCTAGGCTTATATATAGATGAACATACATGAGAGAAGGAGTAAACCCATCCTTCAACTTTCCATCTTCGAAATCCAACATAATCACCACATTTATATTTTGATCTCATAAAAGCTGTATTGTGGTCTTTGGCTTGCCTAAGTCCAATTTGTTCATCTATATACATATGAGTCAATGCTTGAGTATTAATTGCATTCCCCATTGTGTTTTTATTTTTCTCCCAACTCAAAACATATCAACATTTTATACACTAGCTAATGTGAATTGAGATTGAATTGAACAGAAGAATGATGGGCAATAGAACCATAGCTGACAATAATGTGAAATTTCATAGTGTGTCTCATAGAAAACAACCCTAATCAAAATAGTTTCACAAATTTGAATGACATTCAAAATTATATTAATCAATTCATGTTCGCTCTTAAATTCAATAGAGAGTTATTTAATTTATAAGGAAAGTCTTTGACTCCAAGTAAGAATAACAATCATATTATGACTCTTTTAGAAAAATCTAATGAATAACTTAAGCCCATGATTCATAATAGGCTATTAGGCCTAAAACACTGAAAAATACCTGAAAAACATGTATGAAGATACAATGAAAAATAGAAAAAAACTGAAACCCAATTAACATGAATGGACTCTAATTAGACTAATTAAATTATTTTAACAATGTGTTTTTAAAATAAGATCGCTATAGAATACAGTGATTTTCTTTGTAAATCATTGTAGTTCTACTGTGATAATTCAACAAATTTTACTATATCATTTGATTAAAGATATGAGAGGAATTTAAGCATGGTTGATGAATGATTAGTAGAAATGTTTTGAAATTTGGATTGAACAGTTCAACCATCAACCATTCAACACAATAGCTTGATTCAATCATTTAAAGCATTTGGACGTTTGGATCAAGTTGACTCGGATAATTTTAAAAAAATCATAGCTAACCCAAAAACTAGAAAGCCAGTCCAAAGCCTAAAAAATTTTTTTTTTGGCTCAATCATTTAAATTTGCGATTTCTCTTCTCTAATCTTTAGTTCTCTTTTTTAATCTTTAATCTCTTCTCCACGGTCCATGCTTAATCTGTAATCCCTCCTTCGGCCTATACATCCAACTCTAATAATTCAACCTTTGGCTAGAATTGGAAAACAGGCAGGCTCAGCCCTTATGAGCTTGGTCTATAAGTCCTTAAACCCGTTTTTCTTAAAATGCTTCATTTTTTAAAACTCGGCCCTTATATAAAAGGCTTAGGCCAGGCCCATAAACTCTTATTATTTTTTTTATTTTTTGGAAGTTTTAAACATTAAAATTGTTAATTATAATATTTTATATATTTTTTAAAAATACAATTTATAATGTTTAAAAATTAAAAATAAATAATAAAATTCTAATTTTAAAGTATAAATATATATTCTAAAGTTTAAATTCAATTTAAAAATTAAAAATATTTTATTTTTTAAGGAAAAAATAAAAATGGGCCTAAAAGAGCCACTCGAGTCCGAGCCCGTTTTTTCAGAGCCTATCAAGGCCTAGCTTGAAAGCCTGATTTCCTTAAAAATGTCAATTTTTTAAGCTTGACCTTATAAAAATGAGCTTAAACGGGTGGCCCTTCAAGTTCGACTCTTATTCCCGACTCTACTTTTGGCATTAAGATTGACGGCTTGTGAGTTATGACATAACAGCATGCCTCTAGCTCCAACATTTTGCTTTAAGATAGTGAGTTTGTGCTGACATGCCTTTGCCGTCAGCTCCAGTGGTCCAAGCATATAGCCTTTGGTGTCAAGATCCTGAACGCCATTAACAAATTAATGTTTTATTTATATATTTGTATATACAAATGTTATTTTTATTTAATTTTATATCACACGTTCGACTGCCAGTCTAACCGGTTGAATTATGTAAATAGTAACCCATTACTCTTTTTGGTTTGACGTTCGATCCAAGTTTTAAAACATTGATAATAGTTTAATTTTGGGCTTTGTCAGGTTTAGTGGCGGAAAAAATAATCTTTTTTTTTGTTCCGTAATCAGAGATGATTTGATAAGAAATAATTCTTCAAGTGAAGGTTTTAATGTTAATTACTATTATAAGAAAGTGTTGTTTTTAAAATGTAATTACTAATAATTTCCTTATATATATATATATTAGAAATATAAGAGAGAAAATAAAATATAATTCCGTTTTATATAATATTATTTGTGACATTTTTTAATTCAAAAGAAATTATATTATAAAGGTAAAAATGTACATAAAAACAAAAAAAAATTTATATTCCAGAGGAAGACATCCAGAATTAGGTGAATGGGGAAATGGCAAACACATGACAGTTGAAAAATAAAGTGAAAAAAATGTTAGGAAAGGAAAAGATATGATATATATATATAATATAATTTTTTCATATATAACTTTTTCTCATGTCCAGGTTTGGAGTTTGGGTGGCACACCCAAACTGACCCCTGGAGCTTTGACCATGTTGGCTTGACTGGCATTGTGCCCAGGCCTACATACAAATGAATCTACTACATCATTCCCTCCTGGAAAAACTTCCAAAATTAAATCATTAAGAACGGGAAAAAAAGAAAGCATGTTACCAACAACGGAAAGTTAGAGAGAAAAGAACATGAATTAAAGTTTGAAGTTTTATTAAAAGATATGTTTATATTTAATGTATGATTATATTTTAATAGAATTATCTTTAATAAAAGAATATCTATAAATAATAAAAAATTAATTAATAGGACTTATATCCGACAGAATATGTTAATCCCTCACATCGTGATAAATTAATATTTAAATTCCTATTAAAAGATATATTTATATTTAATGTCTGACTATACCTTCTTTTTATAAGAAGACACCTAAGTAATACAATAAAAGGAGAATGGCAATAAGGGCTCTTGGGTGGGGAAAAAATAGTGAAGTTCAAAACAATTGATTATACACAAGTGAATCAGTGAACTTGAGTTTGTTTATAGATGAATATTTGGTTATTTTGAATTATCATTACTTATTTTATTTATTTTTTTTGGAGAATGACATATAGGTCTCAAATGAACCAATTAATTTAAATTATGTTTCAAGTGTTAAATTTTAAAATTTATAAGTTCGTCTTTTAATTTTATAATTTTATTGTGATAAATTTGTAATTTATTTTTAAAATTTTAATATAGTTGAATAAATTTTGTTTCTCCTATTAAATTTTGGAACACAAGTTATAAATTCAACACAATAAAATTATAAAATTGAGAGCCGAATCTGCAAATTTCTATAGTATGACACTTAGAATCTCATTTGAATTAATTGATTCTCTTAAAATTTATATATTATTTTTCTTTTTGTTTTTTTATTCTTCTCTAGGGCCCTCGGAGTCATTCTCCCATTAAAAACCCCCACATTTGGATGCTGATTAGGCTCCGAAATGTTGTCATAAAAAAATCACAATGCCCCAACTAATTTGAGAAGACACAGTACAGTTCTCCGAAAACTTCATGTTTTTGTCAATAGCAATAAATGCTTCAGACTTGAAGAAAAAAATAATAATGAAGATCTCAATTACGTACTCAAATTGACGAGAACGGGTAGATTAGTTAAGAGATATATAATATATATATATATATCATTTTCATTGGTGTCTTTACAGTGTGGAATATATACATGTGTTAGTTATTGCCTTCTCTAGAAAGAATCATCACATAAATTCAAACTCGGAGCCTTTCACATAACTTTTTGTGGGTCAAAGGAATCAACACACATTTTGTTGACGTTAATATGACGATAACATTCAATACTCCATGGTCCATACCCATAAGCAAGTGTTCGAATTCAAATCTTCTAGATAAAAGAATTTACTTTAGAATCACATCAATAAAAATAGCAAAAATTAGTCATTTAATTTATATAAATTTGATTTAATTATAATAGTTTTCTGAATTTTAACTCAAGGCAATCAAAATTTTATAGTTTTAACTCAATAGTAATTCATTTTTATCATTTTAATAATTTAAAATATAGTTTTTATATTTTAAAAAATTTTAAAGAATCTTTATAATGATACAGTTTTGGTAATTTAAAATAATGATTTCTAAATTTCTTAATAATTTTAATATTTATAATTTTATTTTTAAAATGTAGGGATAAATATTTTAAATAATTAAAATTATAAAAATTGAGTTGCAACTAAGTCAAAACTATAAAAATAAGGTTAAAACAAGTTAAGGTTTAGTAATTGAGTTGTAACTAAGTCAAAATTATAGAAATTAAATAATTAACTTTTCATAAAATATAATCTATTAAAAAAGGTGCCCATGTCTAATGTCTAATGTTATCTCAACAATTGTTTCCAACATAAAAACTACCTGTATATAATCCCCAAAAAAAAAAAAATCTAACCTGACTAATGTCTAGAACTAGTTAATATGAATAACAACATTACTAGAAAATGCAAAATAATTTATCCCCAAAAAGAATATATTTTGGTGATCTTTATTTTCCACAACTCCAAGCTTGCGAGAAGAGCAGGGCATGGCGGCCAATGGCATAATTGTAAGTCAACTTAAGAACTCATAATATTGACAATTAATTAATTAATAATTAATAATTTTACTTGTTCTATACACACACACACACACACACCCACACACACACGTATATAAAGCAACTTGCTTTCTTCATTATCTAATAAAATTTTCAAGTCAAATAAAGGCAACGATACATCTCATTCCCAATGCTTTAGGTGGGGACTAGGGACATGCCAAACTGGACTACCACCACTACGTCAAATTATTATAACTACTCACTACTTTATTATTTTATTATTTATTCTCAATAATTTATTAAATTTAATTAACAAAGTGGGCACAAGAGATTAAACAACACATTAGTGGGAGTAGGTAGTCCAGTTCATCTATATATACCCTCTCTTAGCTTTCTCAACCAAGCCAACACATCATCTTCATCATCATCATCTTCAACATTCTTTCTTCTTCTTCCTCCAAGCTAGAAAGTAATTAGGCTGTTGTGATTCTCTGAGAAAAAGAAGAAACAGAGAGATCAGTCATGGCTGCTTCTTCTTCTTCTTTGATGGCTCTGCTTCTTCTTCTGGTTGTTCCTTTTGTGTATGGAACAGACCATACCGTTGGAGGCAACGCTGGCTGGGGGCTTTCTGGGAATTATGCCTCTTGGGCCTCTGGACAAACCTTCACTGTTGGTGACAATCTTGGTGAGTTTCCCACTATACCCTTCTATACTGTTTGAATCAACTAATTCTAAGATCTTGAATTTGCATTCTGAAATGTGCAATTACATTAAATAAAAATACCAAAAACATCTTCAAAATATCTATGAGGCTGCTGTTTATAATAACAGTCTTATACAACGAAAGTTCAAATTAGTCTAGGTGGGTGATGGTAAACCTAAGTTTTGTAGGATTTTTTTTTTTTAAAAAAGAGAATAACTTGCCTTATTTATTACCCCAAATGAGTCTGAGAACTGAATTAGTGTTGATAGTTGATATTGTTACATGAAAAATTATTTTTTAAATATATTTTCTTGTCCTGTTTGACTGTATTAACTGGCATTATAAGAACAATTAAATCACATGTCAACATTACAGTTTGAATTTTTTTTTTTTTAAAAAAATTGTGCTTACTCTTATGAAGGAGAGTCGTTTTCATACCAAACGCGTTACCTACTCTGTTTTTGTGGTTTGTGTTATACTCTGTTTTCCTGTGTTTTTCCATTGATTTGAGTTATTAGCTTCATACACTCAGAACTTTTAACTTTCTAACCCCTTAAATTCTTTTTTTTTAAAGAAAAAATTCACTTTATTTTCTTTCAAATTATATTTACATTGTATATTGACATCTACAACTAAAGTTTCTTTATAATTTTAATCAACACATAAATGATTCGTTTGATTCCTTGCATACTTTATGCACAATTCACAATCATACTTTTCTATTTTTTATATTTTTTTATGTGCAAATTTTCTCCTCTTGAGAAATTATTGGTAAGTATTTAATTAATTTTTGTTTTCAAGGACACCAAGCTAACCAATCATATTGATTTATTTTGGCAAACAGTTTTCACATATGACACCAGCCATGGAGTGGACATAGTTAATGAAAATGACTACAATAGCTGCAGTACTGGCAATGCCCTCAAGACTTATAGTGGTGGAAACACAAAAATTGCTTTGTCTTCAGCAGGCAAAATGTACTTCATTTGCCCTACTCCAGGCCATTGTGGCTCTGGCATGAAGCTTGCCATCGATGTAGTTGCCGCCGCCTCCACCCCCACCAGTCCGGCCACCCCGTCGACCCCGAATTCCCCATCAACAACCGTCTACTCCATCCACCAACTCTTCAACAACTACCTCGCCCCCGCCTTCGAGCAGCGGGGCTGCCGGTGGCTTTGGGAGCTTGATGGGATCATTGGTCGTGTCATTGTTGATGTTGGCTTTCATGTGCTAGGAAAGAGGCAGTGCTATTTTTTGTGGTTGTTTTAATTATATGATGGTGATGATGATGTTCATGATCATCATGTTCTTTGTTTGTTTGGATTTGTGTGATTTGTATTCAATGAGGAAGTTAGATTTGATGTTGACATATGTTATATCTTTTTAAATTTAAGTGAATAAATTTTGTTCAGATTTTTATGGTGAATTGGTAATTAATCTTATTTTTATTTATGCTTAAACTATATAGTAGTTGTATCATAAAAATTGCATTTTTTAAATTAACTAAAAAAATCATAAAATATAACACCAACTAGCGTAACCTCAAAGTAATGTATTTATATATATATATATATATATATAATCTTCTCTTTCACTCCATGTTATTGCCCCATTCAAAGTTGAGCCTTTTATATTTTCCTTTTAACAAAAATAATGTATATCTTGTAACATAATAAAACATTAATTCTGTTTTAGTTTTTTTTTCCCTTGTCATGAACAGTTTTGGTTAATTAAATTCTGAGGGGTCCTTAAATTAGAACATATTATATAATATTGAAAGCATTACGGGAATATTTATAATTTTTTTTTTTGAGATATGAAGTTAGTTTTTATCAACTAAATCAACTTTATTGATGTCAAATTTTATTATTCAATACTTAATTTCTGTACTTTGCTCTATCTAGATCTTAATATAAGCCATAAATCTTAATTGATTCAAAATATAGAATATTAAAAATAATTTATACTGTTTTTTACGGTTATACCCATACTTTATTTATTTTTTTAAAAAATTATATTGATGTCCAATTTTATTATTTTATGCTTAATTTCTGTACTTTATTCGGTTGCTCAGATTTCCCCCCCCCCAATATATATCATTCTGTTTATGAGACTTATAATATTACTTGAATTGAATCAAGTCAGATTCTTTGAATTTCTTATGAAGATTTTTTTTTTTTTCATTCACTATATTTGAAGGTATTAAAAAAAACTAATTCTAAACCATTAGGTTCAGACAAGCATTTTTTGTAAGCCAAACGTGCACCTACTCAATAGGATCAAAATCAAAACCAACAGTATTGCTACATCTGTACTTGGGGGGTCCACCGTACAGCTCAAGTGACGTGGCGAATTCTCATTTCTTTGTTTGTTTTTGAGAAAGTAACATGCACTTGACTCATTCATTCCTACTTTATTATCAATAAAAGACTTGGTGCTTTGAATCATCTCATTATCAAAAAGAGGACTTTGATTCACAAGCTTTGTCCAGATTGACGCTTCATTATAGTTCTTTCTGGTCTTTTTCTAATGGATGTTAATTCATTCAAATTGATAAATCATAGCGATTCCAAATCAATTTAATTATTGGTGTGGAAGAATGTGAATGTCATTCATCTTAATTCACCCAAAAATAATAAGATGTGAACCACATGTAAATTAAATTTATATTCTCTCACCTGCTTACTTTTTTGTTGTTGTTAAAGTACGCTTTTAATTTTTTAATTTTATATAAGGTTTTAATTTGATCGTTTAATTTTTATAAAATATCTTTTTAATTTTTTTAATCTTAACTTTGTTAATTTCAATTAATTATTTTTTATATCAATTATTATTATTTTAAAAAAATTAAACTTATTATGTCAACATCCGAGAATATTTTATCAATATTTAAAAATATAATATAAAAATTTATTGAAATAAAACTAACAGGATTAAAGATTAAAAAGTACTCTATAAAATTAATAGATTAAAATCAAATGCTGTATAAAATTAAATAATTAAATTTATACTTTAACAAAATAAATAAATAAAACATGCCAACTTAGAATAGGGAAAATCACATTTAACTCTCAAAAGATTAAATTAATAATAATTTAATCATTAATAAAATTTTCTAAAAAATAATTTATAAATATCAATTTAAATAATCATAAATTCAAGAGTTTCAATTGTAAATTAGATATTTAAATTATAAATATAATTTTCAGTTCACAATCCAAATTCCTGTTTATATATTTTAAAATCGATATTTACAATCCATTTTTCATAAAATTTTGTTAGAAATTTAATTATCATTAATTTAATTTCTTAAAATTTTATTATCATTCTCCCTAAAATGGTATTGGTGATAGCTTGTTCTTGCTCCTTAATAAATGATGAAGTATTGGATTCCTACCCTTTAGGTATAAACTATAAAGTAAACTAAGTTCAGAGGTTTAGTTTGCTCCAATCCTATGATATGAATGATTTATATATATCTACAAAGTTAATATATTTTACTACACCAAAAATAATGAAATAATTATAATCTTTTATTTGTTTTCAATTCAATGTAGAAATGCGAAAGTCCAATTTAGCGATTTATTCTCACCAACCCCATCTTTAATTTTTAATAAATTTTGAAAGAAAATATGTTAAAATGACTCTCCGTGGTGGCTAAGCCAGCGACAACGACTCCTCTTTTTTGGATTCTTTTGGTGTCTATCTTCTAAAGCAGGTCACATCATTCAATGGGTCAAAGAAGCTTAATATATCTCGTCTTTTTCCTCATTCGAATCTTTTTTGCAAACAAAAATTAATATTAATTTTCTAAAAAAAAATAATACATATATCTCCAATCTTTTTTGAGCCCTTTTTATATATTTATCAAATTAAGTTGGATACGAGCATTCCCGAACCCAATTGAAAACATATCCTTTAATATCATATATATATTCTATATTCACACAAATTCAAATTCAATATCCCATGCTTGAGCAATTATATTTTCTTCCACTATAATCAATGTCATTTTTTTGGGAGAATCACGTCCAAAGATTTGATAAAAAAGTTATTTACATATGAAAATTAATATATAATTAATTATTATTAAAATAAAAATATGAACTTGTTATTGGTTTTTGCCTACAAAAAACTTTCTTCTCATGTCCTTGAATGCTATTCTCCCTAGTTTTTTTATTTAATCTATTCATTAGATCAAAGATTAATCTAGTTAGTAAAGACTTAACCTATAACTTGATTAAATCTCATTATTAGTATAAAGATCTTGTTGGCATTTTAAATATTTTTATTAACACTCTTTGAATTTATAAATATGCTTTAACTCTAATGAACTCTCAAAACTCAACTCACTTAAAATTTTCTTACGAAAAAAATAATTTTTCTTAAAAAATTATACATGTATCTCTAATTTCTTTTGCAGACAGAAACATGTTGTGTTATGTTTTACTTTAATTTTATTTTCTTAACTTATTATCTTTTAATCAAAAACTCTTTTATATCCATTTTTTTTAGTTTTTAAATGTATCATGTTGGCAACCATGAGACTAATCAATCAAAAAATTTGAGCACTATTTAAAGAGTTGTCCTCTTCCAAATGGTGGTTTCCATACATGCATCCAATAATCAAACTTTGAGATAATGTTTAAGGGTAATTAATAACTCTTTTACCCATTTTTTATCACAATGAAAATCTAGAATAAAGTGTATTTTAAAAAAGATACTCTTCTAGTTTTATTTATAGGATGGAGAGTGTGTGTGTTTATTTTAGTTTTATTTATAAGGCACTTCAATGATTATTATATTCATCTTAATCATTTTGCCCTTATTAAATATTAGAAAGCTTATTAAATTCTAAATTATTTTATTTTAAAATAGGGATATTTAATAGGAATGAAGTTAAAAAATTTTGAATTTTTAAACAAAGTTAGTAAAATTTAATATTTTCTTTAGTTTTGATAAAAATGTTGAAAATAACTTGTAAATAAGATTAAAGGGAATATCATGTAATTTTAATATAACTAAAAACGTATAAATTAAGCAAATCACGCACAATTTTCAGGTGATACACAACTAACTCGCTGCCTCTCCTTTTGCCCAACAAATAACTTTCTCTTGGTATGAGGAAAAAAAAAAACATAAATTTAAGTCTTAACACTTTATTCAGGTTTTATTATATATCCTTGCACTTAGGAAAAAAAAATGTATCACACAATTTAAAAAATTAATTAATTATATTAATTATGCCTGAAAATAAAAAAATTAAACTACAATACTCTTTATTAATTGTGTTAATCAAGCCTTCATTAATTATTTTTTATGGTTATGAATGATAAAATTTTGATAAATAATTTGAAAAGTTTGCAATAAATACCTATTGAGAAATGTGATTTTGCTTGTATAAAGATAGAGGGAGTATTTTTCCCAAAAAAATTAACAATATATTCCTATAAAATTTTTTAATTATGCAAAAAACTTCCTAAACGTTAATCTATTGTTTCAAGTGTAAAATGTCAAAATCACTTTACATGTGACTTGAAAAATAATTTACAGATGATTTAGATTACTAGAAACTTGTTCCCACAATTAAAAAAAAAAAAGGAGATTAAGAGAAGATTCTTTGACGTTTGACTTGTCACGTTTCAGTTACGACGTAATGTACAAACAAAACACACTATACAATAATTATGTATTCGGTGTAAATTTATAAATTGATAACAACATTATTATGATATTATCAAACATATATTAAATTTTGAAAATGATTTTGTATTCTTTAACCGGCACGTTACTTTTTGAAAAACAAGTTTCAAACATCACAAAAAGGATAATTTAAGCCAACCAACATGTGCCTCTGGAAGCGAGGGGATTAAAGAACAATTGAGATATGATGTATAATTTATTTGATACAGAGCACACCTGGCAAATTATTTTATTTAATGTATCCATTGATTGGGAAGAAACTAATTAAAAAATAAAAAGTATAAAAGTTTAGAAAAGTAATCCTCAATAATAATATATTATTAAATAATCACATTCATTATCTCTTCCACCAACCCACCTGCCTTAAAAAAATAATTGGTATTTATAATCTATGCTTAAAGTCATGAGTTGTTGAGAGAAGGTCAATGCAAGCAGCGCGTTGAGGCTGTATTTTTCCATGGACTGATTTTTTTTTTTTTTTTTGCACTCGTAAATTTTTTTAAATTTTTTTAGTATATGACAAATAACCAAAATCTTAGCATTAAAAAATAGGTAGAATAGCACCCAATATCTTCAGAATGGAAAAAATGATACTTAAGGTCCAATATATTTTGAGTTTTTTTATAAACATAAAAACCCCCAAATGCAAATATATTTATTTGTAAAAAGATACATTTATCCTTAACCAAACAAATTTTGTATAATAAACATATA